TATTTATATCAATATTTATGGATGGCGGATTATGTCGCAATAATTATATCAATATTTATGGTGCTGACTATGTCGCAATAATTATATCAATATTTATGGGGGTGCACTATGTCGCAATATTTATATCAATTTTTATGGGGGGCGCACTATGTCGCAATATTTATATCAATATTTATGGGGGTGGACTATGTCGCAATATTCAGCACCAAGTGGAGGGGAGAGTGTCCCAAATATAAAATATAACTCTACAAATAGAAATGTATTCTCTTGATTTTTTAACTCCATTATAAGTCTAATAGGAAGTGTTGATTTAGCTCATCAGTGATGGACAATTGTTGCATTTGCATCACATTGTTAATAGTATCTAGTCTTAATCCTGTGAAGCTATTTAAGAAAAATATACTATACAACTATACTGTTGATATGAAGGTTTTTGAAACACCAATTTATATTGCTATTTTTTATTAGATATTTTTCAAATAGTTATTGTCTTAACTTCAATGCCTTTAATTTTTAGGTTTTCGTCCCTTATACTTGCTATCATTATACCTCCGCCATTTTTTCCTCTGATATCTAGAAAGCGGAAGTGGATCATATTCAAATGCTGGTTCAAGTGTTTTTTTTTCCATAGCTTCAACAACTTTGTTCTGATAGCTCTCCATCCTCTTTTTGCATGCCACCATATGGTTCGAAATTCTAGTTCTTAACACCCTATGATTTGTATCATAAGAACAGATGGTATAGAATTTGTTAACAATAACTGGTCTCATTGAAACTGAACAACTATCTTCACCTATAAAAATTAAAAACATTTTTTTATGTTAGTTATATTAATGTTAAAAGTGATGCATGTCAATGTACATTCATTGCAACATTGTAAACGGTGAAGTTGTGTAGTGCCTTAAATAACAGTTTATTTATTTAATATATTTTTATACAAAACATAACATTTAAATGGACTATTTATTAGTCATACATTTCAATAATTAAAAAATTAATTATAATTGTAAATCCCCAGGGATGTTGCGTTCATGAACAGCTTGATGATCATCAATGTGTTTCTTTACTCTAATTTTCAGATTATTCTGGTATATCAGATTTCACAGTAAGTCTTCTCTACAGTATAAATCATTTTTTATAAATTGTGAATATAAGACGTCAACGAAAACATACCTGTCGATCTAGAGCTAAAACAAACATAATGTTTACATGTGTTACAATATCTTGTGTCTGCGCAATTAAGATATTGGATAGAATTCTGAAATTTACAAATAAATGTTTCAGGTTTTAGTAATAATATAACCCCATGGTTTAGTGTCAGTCTAAAGGTAATTTGCAATCCTTTTATCATCTAATGGATTTAAGCTGCTTTTTATGGATATTGTGAATCTCGTGTATATAACAATTTTGCACAATCCCCAGATTTCTTTTTAATATAACTGTAGTGGACATCATACATTATTGTTTTTGATTATGTCAGGAATGGAAAAACCTGCCCAAATTGGTTTGTTAAATGCTACATTTAATTTTGACATTTCATAGAACGTAGATCCGGTGAGGTCTATCCTAATATTGATGTTGGAGGGCCTTGGATCATTTTGGCACAGACCCACCATGTTTCTTTTTGACGTTCTGTGTTGCTATCCCTTGCACAACACCTCGTTTATACTATATGGTTGAACTATGGCTATTTTTTTGCTTGCTTCCACCTCGAAGTTTACTAGAAGCGATTCTCCTATCCCAATATATATATCTAATATTTGACTCCATTTTTCTATTCTTCTACTATTAACCATACAGTCCAACGTCTACACCTTTCACAAACACATTTATGACGTTTTACTCCTCTTACCGAACGTTTTCAAACGCCAAACACACTTTCGAATATGTGAATGTGTTCGTTGCTCTGCAAGGGTAAAAATGTGGTAACACCACTCACATACAAACATTCTATTCTTCAATTATTAACTATACTCTCCAACGTCTACATCTTTCACAATAGAGTGTCTTTGATTTTCGAGGTGAGGAACCGCCTAACCGGAACAATGGAATAAAGTCAATGTGTTGTTTTATTCCCCAACATCCAGAGTATATAAACGTTATATATTTACACTATTCAATACTAAAAGTAACTTTATTTGATTCCATTTTTCTATTCTTCTATTAATAACCAAACAGTCCAACGTCTACACCTTTTTGCTTCTTATACTTGCCATCATTATACCTCCGCCATTTTTTTCTCTCATCTCTAGAGAGCAGAGATTTGTCATATTTAAATGCTGGTTCAAGTGTTTTTTCCATAGCTTCAAAAACTTTGTTCTGATAGCTCTCTATCCTCTTTTTGCATGCCACCATATGGTTCGAAATTCTAGTTCTGTTTATGTTACAATATCTTGTGTCTCCGCAATTAAGATATTGGAAAGAATTCTGAAATTTACAAATAAATATATCAATATTTATGGTGCTGACTATGTAGCAATATTTGTATCAAATTTAGTCCCAAATATAAAATATAACTCTACAAAGAGAAATGTATACTCTTGATTTTTTAACTCCATTATAGGTCTAATAGGAAGTGTTGATCTAGCCCATCAGTGATAGACAATTGTTGCATTTGCATCACATTGTTAATAGTATCTAGTCTTAATCCTGTGAAGCTATTTAAAAAAAAATATACTATACAACTATATTGTTGATATGAAGGTTTTTGAAACACCAATTTATATTGCTATTTTTTATTAGATATTTTTCAAATAGTTATTATCTTAACTTCAATGCCTTTAATTTTAAGGTTTTCGCCCTTTATACTTGCTATCATTATACCTCCGCCATTTTTTCCTCTGATTTCTAGAAAGCGGAAGTGGATCATATTCAAATGCTGATTCAAGTGTTTTTTTTTCCATAGCTTCAACAGCTTTGTTCTGATAGCCCCCCATCCTCTTTTTGCATGCCACCATATGGTTGGAAATTCTAGTTCTGTTTATGTTACAATATCTTGTGTCTCCGCAATTAAGATATTGGAAAGAATTCTGAAATTTACAAATAAATATATCAATATTTATGGTGCTGACTATGTAGCAATATTTGTATCAAATTTAGTCCCAAATATAAAATATAACTCTACAAAGAGAAATGTATTCTCTTGATTTTTTAACTCCATTATAGGTCTAATAGGAAGTGTTGATCTAGCCCATCAGTGATAGACAATTGTTGCATTTGCATCACATTGTTAATAGTATCTAGTCTTAATCCTGCTGTGAGGCTATTTAAAAAAAATTATACTATACTACTATACTGTTGATATGAAGGTTTTTGAAACACCAATTTATATTGCTATTTTTTATTAGATATTTTTCAAATAGTTATTATCTTAACTTCAATGCCTTTAATTTTAAGGTTTTTGCCCTTTATACTTGCTATCATTATACTTCCGCCATTTTTTCCTCTGATTTCTAGAAAGCGGAAGTGGATCATATTCAAATGCTGGTTCAAGTGTTTTTTTTTCCATAGCTTCAACAACTTTGTTCTGATAGCCCCCCATCTTCTTTTTGCATGCCACCATATGGTTGGAAATTCTAGTTCTGTTTATGTTACAATATCTTGTGTCTCCGCAATTAAGATATTGGAAAGAATTCTGAAATTTACAAATAAATATATCAATATTTATGGTGCTGACTATGTAGCAATATTTGTATCAAATTTAGTCCCAAATATAAAAAAATATAACTCTACAAAGAGAAATGTATTCTCTTGATTTTTTAACTCCATTATAGGTCTAATAGAAAGTGTTGATCTAGCCCATCAGTGATAGACAATTGTTGCATTTGCATCACATTGTTAATAGTATCTAGTCTTAATCCTGCTGTGAGGCTATTTAAAAAAAATTATACTATACTACTATACTGTTGATATGAAGGTTTTTGAAACACCAATTTATATTGCTATTTTTTATTAGATATTTTTCAAATAGTTATTGTCTTAACTTCAATGCTTTAATTTTAAGGTTTTCGCCCTTTATACTTCCTATCATTATACCTCCGCCATTTTTTCCTCTGATTTCTAGAAAGCGGAAGTGGATCATATTCAAATGCTGGTTCAAGTGTTTTTTTTTCCATAGCTTCAACAGCTTTGTTCTGATAGCCCCCCATCCTCTTTTTGCATGCCACCATATGGTTCGAAATTCTAGTTCTTAACACCCTATGATTTGGAGTAGTCATGTTTTCTCTGCTAGGAGTAAAATTGAATATGCCCTAACGTATCCTGATATTTTCTTTCTTCTGTTTTGAGTGACAAAAGCTCATGGATGACTGGTTTCGTCATCGAAGTAGCTGTTCTTTTTGGTAAGAAAAATACCCCTTCTTCCACCTCCATTAATACTGTTTCGCCATAGGCATCACGCATTTTTTTAAATTGATAACCTTATATTTTTCGTTGATTTTCAACGTTTCCAGTGATATTTTTGGTTTGTATTCACATTCTGCTTTGAAGTTGTTTAACAAGAAGTGAATTAAAGAAAATAAACTTACCATTGTCCCCAATCTTCTACAATCTCCAACAAGGGAGTAGTAACTTTATATTTTTCAATGTACTTATGCCCCCGGCCTACAAGGGCTTATTGTTTAGGAAAAATTCTTACAATTGTTTCATCACATAGGGTTATACGTTTGGGGAGGTATTCACAACTACTGATACTGGGTAACTTTTCCATTTCTTTTTGGTTTTTAATTGTTTGAAAGCCAGAAAAAATTGAAGAGTAAAGACATTTCAACTGTTACTTGATGAAGCAAACCTAAATATATTTTTTCCCGGAGGAACTCTTGACAGAAACAAAAATATTGCTTACACGTATAACACAGTTGTGTACTCTCAGGCCAGGCTTCAATGATTATGAAGCAAAAGACAGTGATAAAGCTTTATTAAATAAAACAAAACTGTTAGCTGCCAGTTATTAGCTGCCGTCGCATAGGAACTCTAATAACTACCTAGTACGTACTAAGCTGCAACTGTTCCGACGAAAACTTTCTTCTTTTATAATAATAAAAAAGCCCCTTTTATAATAACAAAAAAGTGTTAAGGTCATCCTCTTTGGTAGGTATACAACCATACCACTTCTCAACTCTACCTTGGTTTGTGTTCCGTAAGGGCCCTCAATAGTGATTATATCGTTAATAGGGTATAGAACATCAACGACCATCTTAATGTAGTCAATGTAGGGTCAAACCACCGATCGTCTTCTTTCCTAAATATCTAATGTATCATCACCAAGTTTGAATAATACAAGGTTATAACTACAAAATTTATAACCTTATATTTTTCGTTGCTTTTCTACGTTTCCAGTGATATTTTTGGTTTGTATTCACATCCACTGATACTGTGTAATTTTTCCATTTTTATTTGGTTTTTAATTGTTTGAAACACAGAAAAAAATGAAGAGTAAAAATACTTCAACTCTTACTTGATGAAGCAAACCTAAATATATTTTTTCTCGGAGGAACTCTTGACAAAAATAAAAATATTGCTTACACGTATAACACAGTTGTGTACTCTCTGGCCAGGCTTCAATGATTATGAAGCAAAAGACAGTGATAGAGCTTTATTAAATAAAACAAAACTGTTAGCTGTCAGTTATTAGCTGCCTTCGCATAGGAACTCTAATAACTACCTAGTACGTACTAAGCTGCAACTGTTCCGACGAAAACTTTCTTCTTTTATAATAATAAAAAAGCCTCTTTTATAATAACAAAAAAGTGTTAAGGTCATCCTCTTTGGTAGGTATACAACCATACCACTTCTCAACTTTACCTTGGTTTGTTACCCGAAAGGGCCGTCATAGTGATCGTTAATAGGGTATAGGACATCAACGACCATCTTAATGTAGTCAATGTAGGGTCAAACCACCGATCGTCTTCTTTCCTAAATATTTAATGTATCACCCAGTTTTAATAATACAAGGTTATAAATACAAATTTTATATCCTTATATTTTTCGTTGATTTTCAACGTTTCCAGTGATATTTTTAGTTTGTATTCACATCTACTGATACTGTGTAATTTTTCCATTTTTTATTTTGGTTTTTAATTGTTTGAAACACAGAAAAAAAACGAAGAGTAAAAAATACTTCAACTCTTACTTGATGAAGCAAACCTAATATATTTTTCTCGGAGGAACTCTTGACAGAAACAAAAATATTGCTTACACGCATAACACAGTTGTGTACTTTCTGGCCAGGCTTCAATGATTATGAAGCAAAAGACAGTGATAGAGCTTTATTAAATAAAACAAAACTGTTAGCTGTCATTTATTAGCTGCCTTCGCATAGGAACTCTAATAACTACCTAGTACGTACTAAGCTGCAACTGTTCCGACGAAAACTTTCTTCTTTTATAATAATAAAAAAGCCTCTTTTATAATAACAAAAAAGTGTTAAGGTCATCCTCTTTGGTAGGTATACAACCATACCACTTCTCAACGTTACCTTGGTTTGTTTCCCGTAAGGGCCGTCAATAGTGATTATATCGTTAATATGGTATAGGACATCAACGACCATCTTAATGTAGTCAATGTAGGGTCAAACCACCGATCGTCTTCTTTCCTAAATATTTAATGTATCACCCAGTTTTAATAATACAAGGTTATAAATACAAAATTTATAACCTTATATTTTTCGTTGATTTTCAACGTTTCCAGTGATATTCTTGGTTTGTATTCACATCTACTGATACTGTGTAATTTTTCCATTTTTTATTTTGGTTTTTAATTGTTTGAAACACAGAAAAAAATGAAGAGTAAAAATACTTCAACTCTTACTTGATGAAGCAAACCTAAATATATTTTTTCTCGGAGGAACTCTTGACAGAAACAAAAATATTGCTTACACGCATAACACAGCTGTGTACTTTCTGGCCAGGCTTCAATGATTATGAAGCAAAAGACAGTGATAGAGCTATATTAAATAAAACAAAACTGTTAGCTGTCAGTTATTAGCTGCCTTCGCATAGGAACTCTAATAACTACCTAGTACGTACTAAGCTGCAACTGTTCCGACGAAAACTTTCTTCTTTTATAATAATAAAAAAGCCTCTTTTATAATAACAAAAAAGTGTTAAGGTCATCCTCTTTGGTAGGTATATAACCATACCACTTCTCAACGTTACCTTGGTTTGTTTCCCGTAAGGGCCGTCAATAGTGATTATATCGTTAATAGGGTATAGGACATCAACGACCATCTTAATGTAGTCAATGTAGGGTCAAACCACCGATCGTCTTCTTTCCTAAATATCTAATGTATCACCCAGTTTTAATAATACAAGGTTATAAATACAAATTTTATATCCTTATATTTTTCGTTGATTTTCAACGTTTCCAGTGATATTTTTACTTTGTATTCACATCTACTGGTACTGTGTAATTTTTCCAATTTTTATTTTGGTTTTTAATTGTTTGAAACACAGAAAAAAATGAAGAGTAAAAATACTTCAACTCTTACTTGATGAAGCAAACCTAATATATTTTTTCTCGGAGGAACTCTTGACAGAAACAAAAATATTGCTTACACGCATAACACAGTTGTGTACTTTCTGGCCAGGCTTCAATGATTATGAAGCAAAAGACAGTGATAGAGCTTTATTAAATAAAACAAAACTGTTAGTTGCCAGTTATTAGCTGCCGTCGCATAGGAACTCTAATAACTACCTAGTACGTACTAAGCTGCAACTGTTCCGACGAAAACTTTCTTCTTTTATAATAATAAAAAAGCCCCTTTTATAGCAACAAAAAAGTGTTAAGGTCATCCTCTTTGGTAGGTATACAACCATACCACTTCTCAACTTTACCTTGGTTTGTTTCCCGTAAGGGCCAATAATCAATAGTGATTATATCGTTAATAGGGTATAGAACATCAACGACCATCTTAATGTAGTCAATGTAGGGTCAAACCACCGATCGTCTTCTTTCCTAAATATTTAGTGTATTACCCAGTTTTAATAATACAAGGTTATAAATACAAATTTTATAACCTTATATTTTTCGTTGATTTTCAACGTTTCCAGTGATATTCTTGGTTTGTATTTACATCTACTGATACTGTGTGTAACTTTTCCATTTCTTTTTGGTTTTTAATTGTTTGAAACACAGAAAAAATATCTCTTAACAAAAAAAAAATATCTCAGAGTCATCCTCTTTCGTAGGTAGACCACTATTTAATTCAAATTTGGTATGGTCGGCCAAAGTTTCCTTCTACGTTAACAATATCCGCAATGGGATAAAAAGGACATCTATTATCATTAATATAGGATACCATCCTGTTCATTTTCAGTCATTTGACGCATTCAAATCTGAATATTTTATAATCTGAACAAAATGGACAAAACTTCAGAAACTTGGACTTATACAGCCATCCTTTCTCCATAATGATTTTGTTATTTTTTTTACAACCACTACAAATATATAATTCTGTTCTAAATACTTCTGGTTCCATTTTTTATGGTTACTATATTCCATTTTTCCATTTTTTATGGGATATCAGGGATTTACCAATCCAACAGCTCAACATAAACACCTTGCTAACAATATAAAAAATTAAAAAACATATCTTGGAAATTATGAGGGTGATTCAAATATAGTTTCACAGCATAACAAACATGTTGTGGTTTTCTCAATATAAAAATGTGCTTGGAGGGATTCTTGACAGAAACAAAAAATATTTTTTACACGTGTAGCAAAATTCTGTACTCTCCGGCCAGGCTTCAATACTTCAAAAGCAAAAGATAGTGGTAGAGTTTTATTAAATAATAGGCTTAGAAGCGAATTAAAGAAAATAAACTTACCACTCCTTCTACAATCTGCAGCAGAGGGCAAGAAACATTGTATTTTTCAATGTATTTATGCCTCCGACACACGAGGGCTTTTTGTTTAGGAAAAATACTCTCACTGGTTTCATTGCTTAAAGCCATCCGCTTGGGGAGCGCCACCAACATACCATTCTTTAGTTCAACCTGTTTGTTTCCCATATTTCCCATCAACGTTAGGAATGTTCATAGTGGGATATAATACATTTATTACCATTTGGTTAGGGTTTAACCGTTTTTCTTCGTTTAAGCCAGAACCTACTAATACACTATTTTCTTGCTGTTGGGCCATCTTGATTCGCACTGATAGGCTTTAAAACAAATGTTTATTTTAAAACTTTGCATTTTTTTTCTGAAATAAAAATTAAATGTAACTATTTTAGTTTCTCTCTAAATTATGGACTATCTAAAGAGTTTTCTTTAAAAGTATTGAGGTGTTTACCTCAATACTTTTTCTGTTTATAATCATTTATTAATAATAATTAATTGTTTGTGTAGTAAATAAACACTACCCTTGCTTCGGGATCGGCCCATATTATTAGATAGATGGGGCCGACCTTATCTCTCCAAATATCCACCACTGGTGGTGTTGGTTGTGGTGCCGACGGTGGTTCTGGTCATGCTATGTATGCGAAATATAAAAAAAAATATATATTTTATAATATATATACATAAATCTTAAACTAAAAACTATTAAAATTAAAAATTATATATAGAAAGATGTCCATCATTTGATCAATTAAAAAATGTATTCAAATCTTATCATTGTTTAAAACATTTAAATAGTTCTTTGTCTTGTGCAGTTGAAAATGCATATTTCCTATTTTATTGGTATACTTATTGTAAAAAGCAAAACTTTTAAATAAAACATAGAAAATAATAATAATGTATTTTATTTAATAAAATATAGACAGACTATAATAATATAAAGAATAGACTACTATAGTGTTAGAACTGTGTATTTTTGTCCCTCAAACTCGTCAGCATTCTCATCGTACACTTCTATTAATTGTTGTTGTTGTGATGATGATAGGTAAACTATTCTCTGTTCTCCAACACTTTTATTTTCTTTGTTTGGGTCCTGCACTTCATCAGGGTGGTGGTGGTGTGCAGGCTCTATTTGACTTGTACTGTCTTCCTCAACAGAAGGGTAAAAATTTACATTAGAAAATTCTTTCATACCTTGTAGGAAAAGTTGTAATTCTGTTTCATCTTCTGCCACCACCCTGATATATTGCAGCGGTAAATTTCAGAATTTTGCTTCCACCATTACATTTTTTGGCGAATACGACAGATATAAATGTACTCTTCCATTAACCACTTTTACTTCTTTCAACCCATATCTAAAGGAAGAACAAAAAATATTTATAGAAAAAACAATAAATAAATAAATAAAAAAGAAGAATAAACTTACCTAAATAAATCTATTATCTATTTGACTAATGATTTCCACAATGGTAATCTTTGCAGTTTCATACAATACAGTCGGGTTCTGAGCAAAGATCGTGTTCGTGAATTCTGGATAGTAGATCAACGCACCATTTAATGCTCGAATAATCCCATCTATGTTGGGTATATGAGCCAATGCATTCACAGTCGCTGTTTCAAATTTGTTGCAGTAGTTCGGTGGTGCCTCTAAGAAACACAATAGTGTAGTCATTGGCCCAAGAGACTGAATCATTGAGGTTCTCCTCTCTGGTGGAAATCTAATCCCTTCAAGGAGGATTTGGTGTGCCTTATTCAATCCATACTTTGAGACAGGATATTGTCGCGACCTAGCTGGGGAGAACTTTGCCTCCACTACATGTTGCGGCGATAAGGAAACTGCGTGTAAATTAAATTAAAAATGGCTGAAATTAAAAATTAAATCAAAAAAAGTCCACATGTCGTGGCGGTGAAAAAACTAAAGAAAATACTTTAAAATTTGCATTAAAAAAGGCAGTTTTAATTAAAAAAGAGACCGGCGCCTCCACCACATGTCGCTAGGGTCGCTATACCAGGTTCTCTCTCTTAATCAAAACAACCATTGGACAAAATATGCATTTATTTAATATAAGGTTTACAGTGTATAACAATTTTGGGAAATGCCAAGACTTAACGGTTTACTTAAAGAAGTACTTACAGGAATAGCTTTATTCTGCGCTGTCTGCAACTAACGGACTGATAACGCGAATTACTGACCGTAATAATGCGACTCACATCGACGGACTGACCTCTCGACTCTCTTCAGCATACGTTTTTATATTTTCTATCCCTCGTGGTCATCGCCGGTTACGTCGTTCAATCTGTTTTCATCTAATTACATTCACCCGGCTATGACCATGAGGTCGAACTTTGGTAGCCTGCCTTTGATTATCGACCCGAGATTGTTGTATTTTCATTGTTTAATTATTAATGTTATTTAAAAACATATCTGGGTCGATGTCATGCAGGTAACCGATCTCTTGAGCCTATATCAAATTGTTTTTTCCCAATTTGATCTAAACCCAAGTTGACATCTATTTAAGTCTTGACAATATGATTTTGATGTGTCAGTAGATTTTTGGAATGGACACTCAGCATGTACCAATCTCAATTCCCTCCATCTAAGCGAAAACCCTGTTAACACCTCTTCTATTGTGGTGATATATTGAATACCTTGATAGGTAACTCTTGGGTTTCCTTGAGAAGCTTTCGTTTTAACAGTGGAAGTAATCCCTTGACATTCCTGTCTGAGAATAGTGTACCCAGTATAGGCGGTGTTGATTGCCTGCATTCCGGCACTAATGTTTGTGTAAAAGTCCGAAACCCTCTCTCTGAAGAAGAACATCATCATTCCATGGAATGTGTCAGCCAGAAAGGATAGAACCTTGTCTTTCAAATCGTCTTGGAGTGCGTACCGTGGTTTCTTGGCTGATGTAACTTCAGATCCAGTGTCGGAGTCAACCAAAGTTCTTTTAATGTTCGAAGACATTATTCTGTGTTTTTGTTCTATTAGTCTCAATTCAGGATTGTATGTTGTAGAGCAGGCTTTTGCAAATGTTTAATTTTTTTCTCAAAAGATTTATTGTCTTCCGGTTTTCTCTGGCTTTATTCAATATCATTTCTTGATTGTTTTCTAGGTCATGTATTTGAGATGCCTGCTTTGCCTCCACTATGCTGTTTGTAGTTACTCCAGCAATTAATGTAGGTAAAGCAGCAACCAATGCCCAACCTGCAAGAGGAATAATTCTCTTTCTTCTGACCAGAGAGCCATTATTACTGGATGTGTACATAGGGGGCTGGGTTGATGTTGGAGGATTGTAGTCGGTTTCTTCTATATAGGCTTGATTGGCACCCCCGAGACATAAAGCCTAAAAACTTGTTTGCTACTGGTTGGCAGTAGCCTGCTATCGCGCTCATAATGGAAGAACGCAATTTGCATTATGACCGCAATAACGGACTAAATTTTTATTGTTGCGCGACTAGTGGAAAATCAAGTTTAACCGCCTTATCTCTCAGGGAGCTGCCTTAAGGTAAAGTACCCGGCGCGTTTTTTTTTTGAGTGGTCTCCCATTTCCAATAGGCCTAATCCACATGTCGTCAACTTAGGTTCCTTTTGAGGGGTTCATCACAGTTCCTTCGTTTTTTGATGTTACTTGCTGTTCAATATAATCTTCCTGAATGTCTTCCACATCTGTATCATATTCCGGATCTGATTCATAAAGTGCAGAATACTCTTTTCGTTGATCTTTATCGAGAGGAAAATTGTCCTCGTACTCATCTTCGTCTAATTTTGCCACCTCCAAACTATTCGAACATGATTTGCCCTGACAAAGTGCACACATTACCGAGCAACGCAAACCTGCTTTGCGGCAACTACAAGATGAATTACAACCTTTGGCACATTTACATGAAATCAGATTTAATAATTCTTGGGGAGCGGCATCTTGGGAAGTAGCAATGGGCATCAACCCATTCTTTGAATTTTTCCATCCCCAATCCAGAGGTGATTTTTAATTCCCATACCATAGCTGTACCTGACTGTACGTACGGAAGGAGTGCAAGCGAGCTGCGTCTTTGGTCGGTGGTTAATGCTTTCTGTTATGCTCTGAAAGTATGTTTGAAGTACTCATAATTTCCAAAAAAAAATATTTTTATATTGTGTTTATATTCAAATTTGGTAGGGCTTTCCCTCTTAAAATTTTAACTTAAATGGATAATTTTTTTAGTAAAACTTTAATTTTTTTGTACTTTAACTTTAACCTTTAATTTTCTATTTTAGTAAGACTATCCTATTAGAAACATTAACTTAAATGGGAAAATTTTGTAGTCTCTCAGTGCTACGTTTTAAAATAAATATCGTTTTTAAGAACTGTTTCTTTAATTAATAATAATAATTATTAATTTCTATAGTATACAAAAACAATTCGCTCATTATTATCCATCCAAATAGTGATGTAGATGGGTCCGACCCGATCATCCCACAACTCTGTTTCGGGTGGTTCTGGTGTCGGGTTTGGCGGAGGCTGGGGACATACTATAGGCAAACTGTAAAAAATGACCATATATAAATCTTAAACTAAAAACTATGAAACTATTAAAATCTATAATATCTCAAAAGGACTTTCCTTTTTGGCCGGGATAGAAATCTCCGACGACGTCTCTCGTGAAATTAATAGCGAAACTGAAATGTGAAAATATTTATGTGTATAGGAAACACTAGTCGAAATCTATTAATTTATTTCCATAATACGTGGAGTAACACTCGCGTAACAACAAAATTATATTCAAGAAAAATCCGAACATAGAATACCATTCTTGCTGGTTCAGAAACGACAAACTTACTAATCTTAATATACTGAAAAATAATATTCCTATCGGTAAAAATATGCTGCGTTTTTATATCTATCGTCAAAACAGTTCTTATTCTATAACAGTCCTTTTTATTTGACATTCGATCGGTTCGGCCTGACTCATCATCCCAGCCGATAAGGTCCAGCGTAATGTAGCTGCATGGTTGGCTTGTAGTCCGGGCGCCCACATTCGGCCTTCCTGACCGGATGATGGTCGATATGACGAAATTCGGTTTAAAAGAACCGGGAGCCCAGAGGTCTCTCTATCATCTCGATGGCGATGTATTCGGAACCCAGGGACCGGATTCCCGACGGTATTATACGGCCAAGGGATTATAAGTCCCGACGGCATTCTACGGCCCAGGAATTATAAAATCCCGACGGCTTTTCGCTGCCCAAGGATTCAGAAATCCCCACGGCTTTAGTGCTAAACAACACCCGAAAAGCACAGCACCAGAGACACATAAAGACATGTAATGATTTTATTTATTATTATTATTATTATTTATTTTTCATAAAAGAACTGGTTGTTGAGGAAGAACGATTAGACGTCATCCCCCAAAATAAAGAAAAGTATATTTCTTTCACCAAACATATTTTGTGTGGTGTCTAAGAATAGGAAAAGCGCCAACAAAAGTATTTTAAAATTAAGCTTTTTAGATTCATGGTTTCAAGCTTAGATAAATTAAGTAAAAATTTAACATCCCATCAACACCACGAAATTAGGAAAATTTTTCCTAACGATGAGGAATTTAGTCAGAAATTACATGAGAATATGTAATGATTAATTTTATGTATTATTATTCAAAAATATTTTTCTATTATTTTTATCA